AGGTGAGAGATGAGAAATGCGGGGTGCGATGTGCGGGGTGAGAGGTGAGGGGTGCGAGGTGAGAGGTGAGGGGTGAGAGATGAGAGGTGCGAGGTGAGGGGTGAGAGATGCGGGGTGAGAAATGACAGATGAGAAATGCGGGGTGAGGGGTGAGAGATGAGAGCTGCGAGGTGCATGGTGAGAGGTGCGGGGTGAGAGATGAGAAATGCGGGTGCGATGTGCGGGATGAGAGATAAGAAATACGGGTGCGATGTGCGGGGTGAGAGATAAGAAATGCGGGTGCGATGTGCGGGCACCACTGTTCTCTGCGGGTGCGATGTGCGGGGTGAGAGGATAAGAAATGCGGGTGCGATGTGCGGGCACCACTGTTCTCTGCCTTCCCCACGTTATCCCCCGGACCAGCATTCCCGGGACGGTGTTCGGGATCGGCTCCTCCTGCAGCAGAAATCCAGCCCCAGCCCTCTGGATTTGTGTTGTTTTCAGCCGAGTTTTGCTGCTCGCTGTGCTATTGGCACAGCTGCTTTTCCGGCTTTTATGGTAACAATTAACTTCCTTGGAAGTAACTTTGTATTTCGGCTTTGTGCTGCTTCCCCGTTGTGTCTCGCCCAGGTAGGAAGTGCGGTGGAAAAATGAAGGTTGTAGGAGTGCTTAAGGCTGCCACATTTTTGAAAGTATTTGTAACAGGAAGCAGGATAATGCTTGGCGTAAATCTTGACCCGGTAAAACACTGCAGAAACTATTTCTGTATTCATTTCTTGCATAACCACGATCAAACAGAGGCTCTTTTTTAACCGTTTGTATGACAAGAGTGAGGTTTGCAGGGTGAAAGAAATGCCTGCAGAAACACTGATACCAAACTTAGCAAGGAGCTGCTGCCCTGACAGTCCTGGACTTGTGCTTGGCATCTGCCTGGGGAGACACAGCTTGGTAGGAGTGAGCTATCCAGGAGAAGCTGAATGAAGGTTCTTGTTTGTTTCCAGCAGTAGCTCTTTAATTTTGGAGAGTTTCCCTCGAGCAAACTGCTAGATGTGTTTGTTTTTCTTCTTCATGAGTTCAAGCACCACATGTTTGTTTCACTTGAAACATTTGTTCCTGCTTGGACTGGCAAAAACCAGGCTGTAAAACTCTTGCACAACAGTTCTTTTAGTATGCAGAATCCTTAATTCAGATATTTTAATTCAGACTTTTCAAATTAATCCTTAAATGAGAAATACGTATTAGTTTTTCTTTTGGTAAACAATATTGATCAGGCACTGTAATAGATTGCCCAGGAAGGTGGTGGAGTCACCATCCCCGGAAATGTTTAAGAGTTATTTGGTGTTGGAGAATCTGGTTTAGGGTTTAGGGGTTCCAGCAGTGACAGGTTAATGGTTGGACTGGATGATCTTAGAGGTCTCATCCAACCTTGATGATTCTGTGATTACTGATTTCCTCTCTCCCCAGAGAGTAATACATTATTTTTTTAAATACTTTACATCCCTATTTTTGATGCATACAGTTATATTCTGGTCCTTTTAAATGCCTTTTAACAGTACTATGACAATGTTAGTGGAAAATTGATAACTTACTCTGGAGTTAAATAGAAAATGTTCCACATTAAAATTCATATTACTTTCTATTGACAGGTATCAGGAGTTGAAATGACACAGAAAATTATTCAAAGCATGGACTGTGACATGAGCTTCTCCCACTTGATACTGAAAGAAGGTACTGCTTTCAGTTGATATGATTATTGATAAGATCTGCTCCTTTCAAGGTGGTTTGAGGAACCTCATTGCCTCCAGTTTGATATGGAAGAGGATGAGTAGGTAGCACTTCACTGCACTAGAGTGAAGCAGTGGTGGCCACTTACGTGAAGCTACAGACATTCTTAATTTCTTTTCCTCTCCTCCTGTCCTTTGGTGAAATCTGGGACAATACCTGAGTTTCAAGAAAGCACATTTTCTTCAAATTCAGGTTTAGAACTTTGTCTCAAAGTCAAACTGGAATTTAGCTTGCAAAGACTTAACTATTTCAGGCTTCTATGTGAATATTCTGCTTTGATTTCTTTGACTGCATTTTGAGCTAGCTTCAACAGAATGTCCTGAATAAGAGGTTTTCCTTAAAGGCACAACTTTTCTGTAGTTCTGCAACTTGCAGGTTTGTCTGGAAGGGAGACATTTAAGGGCTGAAGTTTCTAGTCATCACCTCAGTGGTAGAATACCACAGTGGATAACCAGGTCTACTTTTAGAGGGTGTCTGTGCATGTTGTTGTGTGACTTGGTGCTTGTGCATGCCCCTGTGAAATGATCAACTGCATTCTGTTTATATATTGAGTACATTAGGCAGGAACGTTGGGACTTCAGGAAAGTGGTAGATTGGAAACAAGGTATAGTCTGTTAGAAATTTTGTCATGTTTTAGTCTTTGTAGCTCAAGTTACTAAAAAAGTAACTTGAAACTGTAAACATGATTGGTGGTGTGGGGTTTTGTTTGTTTGTTGTTGGCTTTATTCCCCCTTTTATTTCTTGAAAGAATTCATGTACATTTCCTTTGAGGCTAGCAAGCTTTGAGCTGAAACAGTTTTCCAGACTAAGTATGTAGACAGTGTCATCAATGAAACTGCAGTTCTCTGTCCATCAAATCATTGAGCTTCTGTCACTGTATCATAGTGGCATTTCATATTGCTGAAATATGTAGAAGGCACTACAAGATCAAAGTTGTTGGGTGTGTGATCAAACATCTGCTTTCTAAGCAAAGTTTCCCGTTTCACATATGTGGATTTTGGGTAGTGTTTCTTTGTATAGTCTGCTGAAGAAAAAGTGTAAAAATCTTGTGTGGTCACTTGAAACCATACTGAGCAGGATAAATAGGCTTTGTATCCTGTAAGGGATTGCAGCTATGAAAGTCAGAGACTTCTTCCTGTCTTTACAGAAGTTTTAAGCTTCACTGCTGCAATATCAGAAAGGTGTGTGTGTGTGTATGAGAATTTTGAAAGAGTAGAACTTTTAAAAGGTTGAGCTTTAGCATACAGTCTTGGAAAGACATCCACCCTTGGTACTGAGTACAATTAATGAGTGCAAAATGCAAAGCTTAACTTGTCAGATTGCATAATTGCTATGATCTTGCCCTAAATTTAAGTATTCTTTGCTTCCTTTTGGTGGTTAAATCTGTCTTACAGAGTTGTTTGAACACCTGTGTAATGTTATGGGGTTTTTTTGACAGAAACTTCATTTTCCAAAGGACATTGCTGGTATTTTTGGTCAATTTCTACTGCAAGTCCTGTCATTGCTTTTTTAAGTCATCTTTCTAGTGTAGACAGAGGGATGGATGCTCTTGCTCTTATGTTCAAGGTGTCTGTAGAAAATTTGAGTTTGTATATCTATGCTGCTGTCCAAATGATGTGTTTTGTAAAATCCTCTTTTTCCCTTTCTCCACTTTCTACAGGTACACTGAAACTCCAAGAATGATGATCAGCTCTTGGCAAGTTACAGGAAAGCCACATACAGGGCAACTAAATAAAGACTGCAGTATGAGTGCTTCATCAGATACACTGTCCAAAAGAAGTACATGCTTGGAGGCTGTAAAGTGCAAGTGCTGAACTCTGCTCTGTGTGTCCCTCCTTACTACCCCAACACTTCTGCACATGAAATGTTTCAAAAGAAGGAGCTGGTGTGGTTTATTTGTCATTGAAGTAAACTGTATTGGATACAAAAGTAAGTCAAGGCTTAGTTTTCTGGGGAATACTTTCCTTCTTCCTGGCATTTCTAGCTGGGTAGAAGGCAAAGATGAACTAGGAGCTGGGTAGTGAATGTTTTGCAATTCACTGCTATGTGTGAAACCAGTTTACTTTAGATTGAGAGGCAACAGCATGCAAAATAGTCAGGACAAGACAGCTAAAGGCAGACCTTGACCTACAAGGAGCTGTCAGAAGGGAAAGGAGTTAAGTGTTTGCCAGCTGGCTGACAGTAGGAGGCTTGGGAAGATCTCTGATGTCAGCTGGGGGCAGTGAGGGCAGTGGATGCCTGTTCAGTCACATCTTTGTTGGAAAAAGCTGAGAATAAGACCTGAGGTATGAAGTGAAACTAGATTTCTTGAAGGCTTTTGTTTTATGTGTGATCACAGCAATTCATATTAGCTGTGGTTTCCACACGTTTGACTTTAGAAACCAATTTTAGAGCACCACATCACACTGGATTTACAGTGTGCTTCTCCTTCTGCAAAGAACTGCAAGTTCAGCTGCTCTTAAAAGCAGTGGTGCTTCAGTTGTACAAGAATAGTTCAAAGAAAAAAACCTCATCCATCTCTGTGGTTGTGTCTCTTGTAAGCATGTGGAAAGAAGAGCATCTTAATCAAACTTGGGTTTTAAATTATCCAGTATGGATTAAATCACTATGCTAATGTAACTTGCCTGTGCTTGAGGGTTGGTTATTTTTTTTTGGTTGTTTTTTTTTTGGGGGGGGGGGTTTGTTTGGCTGGTTTTTTTTGTTTAACTCTGCTGGCAAAACAAAATTATAAAAGAGTTATTCCAGTAGAAATTTGGAAAACTAGTAGAAAGCTGAAAACTGAGCAGCTTTCTGTGGAGGCCAACAGCTGCTGTAGCTGAAATCCTCAAAGACTGGGCTTAAATTACCAAAGCCATTTTTTCCCCTCCCCAAGATGACTAATCCTTCTTCTGATTTTATAAGGAGTAATGCAGAGTGCAGAGGACAGTGCAGCTTGAACAGTCTTACCACACCAATGGGAAAAATTTCTGGTTTGCAGCAAAATATGCCATCTATATTTTTGCTCATTGGTCCTCTCATTCTACTGTTACCTCGGTTCAGTGCTGGTAAGTTAAATATTTTGTTGAAATTACCATTTTAGAAAAGAAAATCTGCAAGAGCCATGTTGTATGTATTCAGTAGAAAAGAGCTACTGAGAGCAGGTCGTGAATTTGGGGTTTGGTTTTGCTTCAGCTTCTTGGAGGTAGTTGAATGCCTCTTCTGGGGTAGAAATTGTTCTAGAGATGGCCTGGACAAATGGACATAAATATTTTTAAATCTAGCCACATACATTTAGGGAACTGAGGCTTTGATTAGCCTCTCCCTGTTTCCTATGAAGTCCAAAGTGATTGCCTTCTTTGGCTTAGAGTTAGCTGTTGAATGCCTTCTTTCAGAGACATGCTGTATCTTCAGTCCTGGCAGTTTCAGTTTCCTTTGCAATTAATTAGTAACATTTTTCATGGGAGGTCTAAGTTTTCAATAAAATTTAGAGCTGCATAAATTAATGATGCTTGTCATGCTACTCTTGGCATAAGCAGTCTAATATCAAAGTCTCTGAATTAGTGTAAGCTCCATAGAGGCCTACTTGGAAATCTTTAAATCAGGTGATAGAAAGATGGTGATACTGAAAGGATTACTAAAGACTTGTTTTAGTTTGCAATTGGATAGGTTAACTTAGTATTCATACAGTCATTCAGCAAAATTTGTAAAGCCAGTTCAGCCAGATGTTTTGCAGTTTCGTAGGAATTCAGTGTTGCACAGAGAATCACACAATAGTTTGGGTTGGTGATCATCCACTCCAACTCCCCTGCCATGGGCAGGGACACCTTTCATGAGACCAAGTTGCTCAGAGATCCGTCCAATGTGGCCTTAAACACTTCCAGGGTTGGGGCAGGCACAGCTTCTCTGGGCAAATGTATGCAAAAGTTTGGAAGAAGTTTTCCAATCTGTTTTATAGCCAAGTGATGTTCTCCAAGAAGTTTTTGCTTACAGATTTGGGTTCTTGACAACTTTGCAGTATCTGCCTTCTTCCTCTGGTATTTTTTGGGGTGATGTTTCCAAAAACGTTTGCTAGGCAGCATGATTGTGTCTTGTCAAGTTGTCACACAGACCTAATTCTAAGAATTTGGTTTATGTTCAACTTTCCTGTGATGTTCAGAAAAATGCTGAAAATTTAAAGGATCCTCTGCTTAAAGATTCAAATACAGTAAGGAAATAATCCATAATAGTCAAGACTTCTTAATCTAAATACTACCCCTCTCCAAATTTGTGAGTTGGGAAGCTTGAAGTTGGCTGGTGAATCCCCTGGATCTTCTTATACTCTGGTTTACACAGAGGCTGTTGGAATTGTATGTGCTTGTTGCTGACTGCCTTAATAGAGAGAAATTGTGACTTAATCTTCTAAAATATGTGTTTATGACCTCAACCAGAAGGTGCTAAACAAACTAAAAATAGCAGCCCAATGGAAAATTGTTGCAGAAAGTTCATTGTATAATTCTGTGTGACTTGGAATGGATTTGAATACTATAAACATAAAGTATACAGATTAGAAGCAATAATATTTTTACTTTTTTTTTCATAGAAGGATGTGTTATTTGTGATTATTTTGTGCTTGTTGGAGAGCCTACGGCTGTTACTTGCCCAGTACTTACATTGCCAGTGCTTCACTCTGATTACAATCTGACATGGTATAAAAACGGTAGTGCTACACCAGTAACCACAGAGAGAAGTGCCAGGATCCACCAGCGAGGGGACTTGCTTTGGTTTATTCCTGCAGTGCTGGAAGATTCTGGACTTTATGAATGCAATGTAAGGTAAGGAAGGATGGAAACAACTGGATTGTTAATGTTTGCAAGTGTGATAATATATTTATGAGACTTGAGTGTGCAAAATACTTTGTTTTAACAAATTTAACTTAGATCAGTTAAAAGCACTGTTTTTGACTATGCTTCTTGTTTCTTCATGATGCCTTTTTTTTCTCTTTTCTTCCACACATTTAACATTGCAGAAGTGATTCATACAGAAGACATTGTATCTTAAAACATGATGATGCTAACAATGGTCTGTGGGAGTTGGTTGTTTGCTTTGTTCATTCTGGGTGAAGTGTAAGGTCACAGGGAAATGTCTTAACTGCTTCAGAGCTTCCTGTGTTCAAACTACTGTTTGAGACTGACAGATCAGCAAAACGTTTTGGTTTCTTCATAGGACATGGTTAAATGGAAGAAGGATCTGAGAGGAGCAATCTGCATTTTATGCAGATTTTTTTGTACATATATACCATATATAGACTTTATGGAGAGCTTAGCAACTGTTTAGGAATCTTGTGAGAAGTTTACAAATTAAAAGGCAGAGAACAATTTTTATGGTTTATTTTAAAGGATTACCAAATGTTACTGGTCAAAAATGAGAATGCATATAAAGAGCAAAGCAGTGTGCTCAACAGCTTTAGAGA